ACTTTATTTTTATAAATATTTAATACTAGTGGCCCAGTACACGAATTCGTGCACCTTGAAAGGAACTGTGGGCCACAAGGTTGTGGTGGGCACAGAGGCGGGTCTCAGCCCATCCTCCATGCCCCGTCCAGACCCTCCTGCTGCGGCCCCTGGAACACTGTCTGCCAGCAGTCCCACTCCCGCCACTCCCACACCCTGACAGTACTGGCCCCACTCGCACACGCTGACCTGGACCTGCTGGGGTTGGACCCCGGCAACTGTATATCATAGTGACCGGTCATTCTGCCGTTCTATTTGTGGGTTGCGAGGCTGCGGTGGGTACAGAGGCGGGTCTCAGCCCATCCTCCATGCCCCGTCCAGACCCTCCTGCTGCGGCCCCTGGAACACTGTCTGCCAGCAGTCCCACTCCCGCCACTCCCACACCCTGACAGTACTGGCCCCACTCGCACACGCTGATGGCATGGAGCGATTGGGGCTGGCGCCAGCAGCGTGTGCGATCGGCGGCTGCTGCCCTGATTGACCGCAGGAGCAGGGCGAAGTAGAGAAGCCCTCAGGGGTGAATGAGGCTGGCAGCCAGCAATCACATCCACTGACGACGCCTAGCAATTGGGACCGGCACCAGGCACCAGCAAGCGGGTGTGAGCGACAGCTCTGGCGCTGACTGTGGGTGTGAGCGGGGTCGGTGCTGGCAGTGGGTGTGAGCAGCGGCTGCCGGTCCTGATCGCCCCTCAGATGCAGGGGGAGGTAGAGAAGCCCTGAGGGGCTATCAGGCTGGCAGCCGCCACTCGCACCCGCTGATGGAGCCGAGTGATTGGGGCCGGTGCTGGGTGCCAGCAGCGGGTGCAAGCGGGGCCGGCACTGGCAGCAAGTGTGAGTGCCCAGGACCATGGCGTTGGGATCAAAGAATTTTCAGTAACCACCAGAGGCTTGCCCCAGTGACAGCGATCGGCGACCCGCCTTACTCTGGCGCCCCTGCTCACCTGCACCACCATCCCGCTGTGGCCGACGTCCACCATGTTCCACGCACTCCCGCCTGCTACTGACACCCACCATGTTCCACGCGTGCCCCCTTGTGATCAGCGGACGTCATAGCAACCGGCTGTTCGGCTGTTTGGTTTATTTGCATATTAGGGTTTTATATATATAGATTCTTATACTCACAGGCCAAGGCTGTAGATCATTAAGTCCCTTTTCTAATTTCTCAACATCTGGAAACTTTGTGGCTCCATCAGCATCTGCCATAAGGATCTTTTCTCCTCGAGAACTGAATATACCCTGTATTTAAAAATTTCAATTAAAACAAAGTTGCTTAAGATTAAGGTTAAATTCAATGACATATCAGTCTGTTCAGCTTTACTTAAAATATCTAAGAGTGAAATAACAGGTATAAAATGACAGGAGGCCAAAGTTCACTTAAAACAAATTAGATTGATTGGCTCTTCCTACATGTATGTAATGCCTATTTCACAGTTTTAAAAACTTTGTGAGGTCATACAACTAATACCTTAGAAGCTAAGACTACTTTTAGATAAATCAAAGATATTGAATTAATAAGATTAAAAATGTGAAATGTCATCATATATAATATATATGCATTGTTTATATATCACGGCGCTTAGCACAGCTTATTAAGAACATATTTATGGCCCGTCTGGTGTGGCTCAGTGGTCGAGCATCTACCTATGAACCAGGAGGTCACAGTTCAATTCCCCGTCAGGGCACATGCCCAAGTTGCGGCTCGATCCTCAGCAGGGCATGCAGAAGGCAGTCAATCAATCATTCTTCCTCATCACTGATGTTTCTATTTCCCTCTCTCCCTCTCCCTTCCTCTCTGAAAGCAATAATAAAAAAAAGAACATATTTATGAAGACTGAACAAATATATACAAATTTTCTGTGAAATGCCTAGCAATTTTTTATTCTTTATTTTGAATCTAAAGTATTTTAAATAAATTGTTGAATGAAGAAATATGGAATATCACTAAAATTTAGGAAATGTGGATATATCCATACATATTCTGTTATATTAGGCAGCTGACACTTAGCAAAATCATGCACTCAATTTTGAATTGGTCATTTGTGCAAAATATGGCACAGAAATAAACTATATGACCATTGCTAAATATTTATGTGGAGTGTTTATTTGGTGTTGGGTTGTATGAGCTCCTTATATATTTTGGACACACACACACACACACACACATCTATACACACATATATACATATATACATCAACTCCTAATTTCATGATGCACTTGAGTGAATTAATTTTTCCTTAAGTACAAATATATTTATGACTTGATATTGTAAAATACAGCTTTGATATCATTTAAAAGTGTGACTGCAGATAAAATATATATAAATGTAGATAGAAATTTGATCATTTATTCTATGGAATAGGTCCACTAATTAGTGTCTGTAATGTTTACCATACACATTAATTAGTATATGGGTAAAAAAAGGAACAAAAATGTTATATTTAACACCTGAACATATATGAAGTTTTAGAAAAAACATTACAAGGTACAAAAGCTGCTTAATACGGAAAAACAAATAATAAAGCACTATTTCAATGATACATGATAATGGTGAACTGGAGATCATTAATGGAAAACTGCCCTTGACTCTCTAACATGTTAATGCTGCCTCATCAATTTTGTAAAGGAGGGTTCTTTAATGCTTGCTACTCTTCCTTCTGCTATTTTTGATGGTCTTCACTGTCATTCAGTCACTTCCAATCCTTTCAGACTATTGATTTTTCTTCCTCCTTATGTGGCTCATTTCCCAAGGCTTGGTTCCTGGCCCTTTTTTATTCCCTCTTCCTTGCCAATTTAATGGCTTCGACTATCATCTGATGTATATGGATGATTCATTCATCATCTCCTTTCGCCCCGGCTATTCTGAATACCGCTACTTGGTATCTCAAATTTAATATGGCTCCAGCTTAACTCAACATACAGTACTGACTTATTTAAAAAAAAAATCTATCTATCTATCTATATATATAGATTTCAGAGAGGAATGGAGGAAAGAGAGATAGAAACATCAATAATGAGAATAATTGATTGGCTGCCTCCTGCATGCCCTATAATGTAGATCGAGCCAGCAACCCGGGCATGTGCCCTGACTGGGAATCGAACCATGACCTGGTCTTTAGGTCAACACTCAACCACTGAGCCATGCTGGCTGGGCTACAATACTATCTTTTAAATCAGCTACTCCTCCATTGTCACCCAAGGCCATTGGTAACTCATTCTTCTCCATTACCTGATCTTATGTGGCCTAATTTTAAATACCTCCTACATTTATCTTCTGTTTTGTTACTATCATAATCCAAGTAATATTCATTATCTTGCCTAAACTACTACCCTGGCCGCTGTTGCTCTGTCAATGGTAAAAGTCTAAAAGCCCCTAGTCTAAAGTTCATGATATGAACCCACCTACCCCTCTGGCCTTATTTCTAGAGTCAAACCACAAGTACCACTAATAGTTCCTTTATTGTGCCTTTGGTCATGTTCCTCCTCTGCAAATGTAATAGCTATGGGACCCTAAGTAATCTACTCTACCTATCCAATCCTCAATTTCCTCATTTTTATAATCAAAATAATAGGACCTAACTCATGATACAACACTAGGAGGATTAAATGTGATAATTATGTTGAAGTGGTTTACTGTCCAGCTCAAAATAATCAGTAAGCAAGTGAAAGCCAGCATTTGCCATCATTAGAGGTCTGGTATCAGCCAACATCTTCTTTGTGAAGTCTGCTATTTTCCTCATGTGCCTGAGACTGTTATTGATTTATCCCAATATCTTTTCTTTCCTCCTTTGGAACGCTGATTTAGTCAAGAATGAGTATGTTAGAAAAAACATTTTTTAGCCTTCCTTGGAAGCAGAGGTGGCCCTGTGATAATGTTCTGGCTAGTGAAATTTACCTAAGTCATTGGGCAGAGCGTCTGGGAATGTTCCTTAAAAGGGAGCAAACCAGTTGGCAAGCATCTTCTGCCCTTTGTCCTTCCTCCTTTCTGGAATGTGGATGTAATTAATAGTGCTCCAGGCATCATCTTGGATGTATGAAGAAAAGGGAGTGAAAAGATAGGAGCTAGATTTCTGATATTGTGGAGTTGTTGAACAAGCCTTGGATTGTCTGTCTCTCTCTCTCTCTCTGTATATATATATATATATACATATATAGACTGCTTTTATGGAGGGTTGAGGGAGGTGCTAAATAAATAAATAAAACTCCAAGTCATTTAGGGCATTATTATTTGAAACTTTTTTCTCATAACTGACTTTTGGCTTTTTGGTTAGTGTATCTTGATTACTGCCTGATATGCTTCAGGTGAAAGTAATCTTTTCTTTCTTGGAATTTCTATAGCACTTCATTTGTTTTGCTCTCATAAGTACAATCACCTTTTCTATTACACCAGTGGTTCTCAACCTTCTGGCCCTTTAAATGCAGTTCCTCATGTTGTGACCCAACCATAAAATTATTTTCGTTGCTACTTCATAACTGTAATATTGCTACTGTTATGAATCATAATGTAAATATCTGATCTGCAGGATGCTCTTAGGTGACCCCTGTGAAAGGGTCGTTCAACCGCCAAAGGTGTCACAACCCAAAGGTTGAGAACCGCTGTATTAGACTATGATAGACTATATCAGATTGGTCTTAGTTCATGGCACCCTGCTTAGCACAGTGCCTTCATATAGGTAAAATTTAATACACAAAAGCATGTTGTAAACTGCAAAATAAATACACGAACAAATAAATAAACAAACCACATAATCTTATTATCCAATCACTCTACGAAAGACAGAGATAGAAAAATGGTAACATTTTAAACTCTGATTAAGATAAACATTTTTCTGAATTACACAGTATGTTATAGATACCAAATATTTTCAGATTTGATCAAATATACCTATACATATAAAGTTATTACTAAAAATAATTTACCACTAATTTGAAATCCTGGTATTCAACTAGCTAGCTATAGAATTTACATGTACTACAGTCTTATTCAAAGTATCTTTATGTTTTTTAAATCTTCAGCCGAGGATATTTTCTCCACTGATCTTTTTTTAGAAGTGTTAAATACTCTTTATTTGATATTATACATCAGGGGTCCTCAAACTTTTTAAACAGGGGGCCAGTTCACCTCGGACCGTTGGAGGGCCGGACTATAGTTTAAAAAAAAACTATGAACAAATTCCTATGCACACAGCGACGGCAAAACACCCGGCGGGCCGGATAAATGTTTTCAGCGGGCCGCATGTGGCCCGCGGGCCGTAATTTGAGGACCCCTGTTATACATAAACCACACTAAAATGTCTTTCATTCAATAAAAGGCAATAGTTTGGATACAGAGAATTTTATTAAATTGGCAGAGTTTTGATCAAAAAGATAAAATGGTCACTACCAGTTTATCCGCAGCCCTTGCCTTTTAACAGACTAATGAACACAGCTTGAAACACAAGCAAGTCTTGCAGGTCTAAGAGACAGTGAAGGGATTTCCTCAGAATTTAAATGTATTAACACAACCAATTATATAAATCTAAATATAAGCCAATCTTCTATAGGTTTTGAGATGGCATTCACCACCTCTGTGAAAAGTTAAACATTATGAATCAAGTCCAATCATATTTTTAGAAAAGGGCAGTGATAGCACTTTCTGAACCAAAATTACCATCAAAGCTCAAAAAGCTGACCATATTCATTTAACCACAAGCCAATCTTATTTAAATCAGGACTGCCCCAAAGAAATGTTCTATTAGCCATTCATGATCTGAATTGTGGTGTATGAGATCAATTTAAAGATGGTACACATAAAAAAAATCATGAGACATTTGTAATAAATATGGCAGTGGCCAACTATTACTCATTAGTAGCTTTTTTGAGATAAGCTATCAAGTCTGCCCTTTCTACACTCTTCTTAATGTCAGCAAAGATCGTTTTTATTCTAGGGATGTACTTCTTGGGATTCTCCAAATACTCCATCAGTGTAGCATCTCCCCAAGTGAGACCTTGTTCTTGTTGGCCTTTGTTCTTTCTTTCTGTGTAAGAAAATCCAGGGGGCTGACCTGTCTTTTGCCCAAATAGACCATGGAGATTTGGCCCAGGCTTGTGTTTGCCTCCCTTTTCCACAGTATGGCACTGGGCACACTTCTGGACAAAAATCTTCTTGCCCCTTTCAACATCACCCATTTTTAAATCGATTGTTAGTCACGTGCAACACAGAGGTTCCCACTTGCAAGCCAGACGTCACACTCTCTAACTCCGCTGATTTTTATAGAGAATGGAAGAGGGGGAAGGAGGAAGGGGACACACACACACACACAGACACACAGACACACACACACACACACACACACACACACACACACACACACACACCCCAATACAAGAGAGAAACATCTGTTGGTTGCCTCCTGCATGTGCCCCAACCAGGGTTGGGGATCGAACCTGCAACCTGTGTCCTTGACTGGGAATTGGGCCGATGCTCTAATCACTGAAACACAAGGCCAAAATATCTTTATATTTTAGATAAAAATATTGAAACTATGTATTACCATTTTAATAGCTCCACCTTTCCCACGATTCTTCACCAGTGTTATCACTCGTATTTTGTCACTTCCATATTTCTGGCAATATTTAAAAGCTACCTGTCAAATTATATAAAAGTGAGAAAAAATTAACTTGGATTACAAAATAGTAATATAAAGTGGGTTTCTTATTTTGGCTTAACCAGTTAACTGCCACACATCCAAAATGGAAACCATCCCCACACGCCACGGTATTTTGAATTTAATTAAAAAATAAATTTGCAATAAATATTATAAAAAATAATATTACAATTCGGGTGGTCTTGAATATTTTCAGTTGAAAATTCTCACGAAAAATGATTTTAAAGTTGGTCTATAGATGCTTATGGCAGGCAAATGGTTAAACACTGCTATTCCAGTTGTCTTCTTCCTGTGACTCGATTATACCCACCATGCATTTTGGTGGCCCAGGGGAGTTGCTGAATTCTTGGTGTAAAAATATGACACCAGGAATTGACCTACTAGGCTGAAGGTAGACTTCACTTCCCTGCAGAGGAACCAGTTGAACAGGCAGCTGCTGTCTCCTTATTATCTCTTCTACCTAAACTACTGAGCTTCCAGAAAAAAAACAAAATCTATATGCTAACATACACACTTGTGACCTAAGCCTACAATACTGCTCAATGACTTGTTTGTCAACAACCAATCTCAGTCCCCAAAGAGGTTGTTTGTATTCTAGAACATTTTCCTCAAATCTCACTTGAATTTCTCTTTCTCAGCAGATATCCATGCCATAACTTATCTTCTGAATCTTCAATCTCTTCCTCTCTGCTGGCTCCACAGCTTTAAACATGCTTAAGACTCCAGCATACTAAAAATTTCCCTTTGATTTCACTATTACCTCAAGAAACTATCAGTATTCTTTTATTTATAATCAAAGTCTTGAAATAGTGATCTACATCTATTTATATATTCTTTAGTTTATAATCAAAGTCATAAAAACTAATCTACATCTATAATATATATAAATCTATATACTGCCATCTACATCTCTTCCTCATGTTTAGTCTTCAAACCAGTGCAGCGCGACTGATATCCTTTGCTTTTCCACATTAAATCTCTTAACGTTCTCTTCTTTCCATTTAACCTCCTAATCAACAGTACCCTCTCCTTTTGGCACTCAATTCCATAGGCAGTTGTGAAGTTATTCTAATCTGGTGTCTGCCCTCCTGTCGGGCCAGCTTAAGATGCAGCTCAAACACCATGTCTTTTTCCTAGCTTCTATGCTCATTCTCACCCCTCCAGGAAAAAGGAAAGTGATTCTAATAGGTTCAAAAGGCATTTTCTCGTTTAACTGTTACTTTACTAATCACATAATATAACTGCAGACCTTGCCCACCAGGCGGTGGGCTACTTAACGGCTAAACTTACTATTTCTAGTGCCTGATAGATAGTCTAGAATTGATTAATCTCAATGAACAAATGCAGCCACAGTCCTTTGTACATACTCCTATTACAGCATTGTGGTAGGCATTGTTAGCTACTTACCCAACAAACAATGCCTCCTTCTTCCTTACTATTATGACTCCAGTCTTACATAGTGACAGTGTGTACAGGACTAGATAATGAATCATGATTGGTCTAAATCTGCTTTGCCAAGTACTTTCCCAGTCCTCCTTTCAGGTATGGGTTGTCATGTCACCAAGTTCTGGCTCATGAAGTCTACTGCAGGTCTGCTGGAGGATAAGGCTTCTGGTAAAGCTTTCTATTTCCAATTAAAAAGGACAGAGGCACTCAAAGATAAATCTTAATGTTCTGGCTGTCTCTTACAGCTTAGGACATGTGATAATTGGAGCTGTGATAATTTTGTGATCAGGGAGAATATGAGAATTGAAAAGCTGCTTTTCCTCAGCTGGGCTGCTGCTGCTTCTGCAATCTCAGCAATAAGTGATGGATGTTTATTTTCTATGCCCTTCCTTCCATATAATTAACAAATTTCTGGAATAGTCTGTGTTTATGTTTTTCGTGTCACATTCATTATTCAAAGTGCAGCACCTAATCTTCCTAAAGCAGATCCCATAATACTGACTGGCCTCTATGCCTTTGTTTACACTATATTTTTAAAATATAGTGTAAACATGTTCTTAGTCATAACCATCCTTAAAAGTTCAGTTCAAAAGTCACTTCTCTTTCTCTCAGATTCTTTACAATATTTTATTTTCAGCACTTTTTACCTGCAATACAGTTAAACAACTGTCCTGAAGGCTTCTTGCACAAAGGAGTGGGCTCATGTATTTGTATGGTTCCTCCAGTGTCTAGAACTCCATGTATACTTGGTATTTAACAAAAAATCATTACTGAATAATTACATGAATAATCAAGTAAACAGGTGTTTCCCTGTATACTTATTGTAAGGAATGGCTATAGGGTTAAGCCTCAGACTGACCTGTTGGCAAAGTCACAAACAAGTCCCAGCTTAGAGGGCATAGCCCTCTTAGCACAATTAGGCTTGACCTTATGATGCTTGCTAGATCTTATCTGGGTAGCTAATGGGCTGTGGGAGGTGCAGCAAGTGCTGCCAAAACAAGTGAAACTCACAAGAACATTGTAACTATGGTGATCACTACCTTGTTTACGTATGGCTATAAAATAAAGGCTCAGCTTGCTGTCTGGATCTTTCTCTGTGGACTCAGCCAGGCACAGGAGATCCACCTAGACCAGGGGTGGGAAAACTTTTTGACTCGAGGGCCACAATGGGTTCTTAAACTGGACCGGAGGGCCAGAACAAAAGCATGGATGGAGTGTTTGTGTGAACTAATATAAATTCAAAGTAAACACCATTACATAAAAGGGTACAGTCTTTTTTCTCAATAGTTTTATTCATTTCAAACGGGCCAGATCCGGCCCGCGGGCTGTAGTTTGCCCACTGCTGACCTAGACCCAGCTTATTCTCTTTGTCTTTTCTAAATCCTTCGACACCTCCCCTCAGGCTCACCGAACCCTTGGCTGTGCTGGCCCGGCAACCTTATTATAAGGTACACTAGAGGCCCAGTGCACAAAAATTTGTGCACTTGGGGTGGGGGGTGTCCCTCAGGCCTGCTTTAGGGATCTCTGATGAAGCAAAACTAAGATTTTACACTTGCTAAATTATTCCATATTTTCTATCTACTGGCAATTCTAAAAGCAAGTTTACTTACCTTCGAAGTCTGGTCTTTGCTGCCATCATCTACTACTATCACCTCATAAGTAAAAGTAGGATCTTGTTTCTGTAAGAAGCAAAAATAACATACCACAATTTGGCATAACTGCCATAAAAAACTAAAAAAATTTAAAAAATAACTGTAGTGTTAATGTGTATATAAAGTAGTGAATAAACCACAGAAAATAAAAAGGCCAGAACAAACAGGAGAGACCCTGGGTAGGAGTAGAGGGTGGATACTAAGTCTCTGTTAGCATCTTGCTCTTCCTGTGGCATGTCAGTGAAGGAGCCAGGTTCTTGTGGTGCCGAGTACATCTGTGAGATGCTACCAGATGTATGAGAAAAAAGCCCAAGAGGTTTGAAGTTAGAGAGTGTAGATTCCAATTTGGAGGCACTTCTTAGCCTTACAACCTTAGGCAAGTTAACATTTTTGGCCCATTTTCTCACTAAAAACAACAACAAAAAAAACCTAGTCTATGTGGCTGGTGTAAAAGAGGTAGTAGCCTCACCTACAATAAGACCTCAATTCTCTTTCTCTTTTCTTTAAATTTAATTTTTGAGCATATAATACAAGCTCCTCCCTTTTGATGACTCTTCTATCTTCCCTTTACGCACACCAAAAAAACCAAAGTAAGTCAAAACAAGGAATTTTCTTTAAAGAGATTCAGCCTCTGTAACCGGTTTGGCTCAGAGGATAGAGCATCGGCCTGTGGACTGAAAGGTCCCAGGTTCGATTCCGGTCAAGGGCATGTACCTTGGTTGCGGGCACATCCCCAGTAGGGAATGTGCAGGAGGCAGCTGATCGATGTTTCTAGCTCTCTCTCCCACTCCCTTCCTCTCTGTAAAAAATCAATAAAATATATTTAAAAAAAAAGATTCAGCCACAAAGCTTACTTGTTTTCTTAAACTCTTCAAAAAGATTCCAACAGCAGCTAATGCCATAAAACAGTGGCACATATTACCTTTTTTTAGCAGGGAAAGAAGAGGAAAATAAATGAGGGGGGACTCTTAAGAATAATAAAGAAATACAAAATAATTTTGCCTTAATTGTGTCTTTCAAATAAATTTATTAAAAAATCACAAAAGTGAAAGCAGCATTGTGCTACCATACAAAGTTTCAGGCATTCTATCACTCAATTTTATGTATAAAATCAGGCAAGAGAGGATAAAATGTAGGTAGGAGGGTACATAAGAGAAATGTCAGCTTTGCAGCTTGCTTTCAGGTCACTACCTGCCTCTGGAAGTAGTGAGTTATGTGCTAGGGTTGCCTAGCAACAAGCTGAGAACAGGGACCAGTGATAATGATGGCCTAAGCAGAACCAACATTGCCTTTCACAGTGGATCTCACCTGGGATCCACAAGTTGGTAACCTTGTCTAGTTTTAATTGGAGACATTATATTGAAAGAGAAAACATGATACCTGTCTCTCTTCTAGATAGCCCAGAGCTTCATCCATCATTATAGGCACTTAAAGAAAAAAAAAAAGGTTCATTAAAAATTGCTTTTGAAATTGTTAACAGGATTCCAGGGAAGAAGGAATAGGGAAACTGAGATAGGAAAGTTAAATCAAGGCCAAACACTGTGGATAACTTGCAGCCAGCTTGTAACTAACAAGCCATTATCTTCCCTAGCCAAGGACACTTGAGAGCAAATGGTTAAAAAACTCAGTAAGAGAATTCAGAAAAGGAGGGAAAAAGGGGATAGGAAAAAAGGACACTTTTACTTTCTAAGCAGAGAAGCCAGCAATCTCAAGGCTTGGCAAGGTAAAGTTGCCAGGTGTTTCTCATGATTTCTGGGAAGGTCACAACAAAGTTAAAAAAGGGGACCTTGAACCCTAGCTGGTTTGGCTCAATGAATAGAGTGCTGGCCTGTGGACTGAAGGGTCCTAGGTTGTTCATTTCCAGTCAAGGGCACATGTCCATGTTGTGGGCTTGATCCCCAGTAGGGGGCATACAGGAGGCAGCTGATCAATGATTCTCTTTCATCATTGATGTTTCTATTTCTCTATCCCTCTCCCTCTCTGAAATCAATTAAAAAAGGGGGTGGGGGACCTTTCAAATTAATCTGTACCAAAATATTCAGTAAAGGAATTTTGAAGCCTATAGAAAGGAGGGTATATAACACCCTGGACCCCCATCCAACCTGCTCTTCAGATTAGTTGAGAACCCACCTGTGCTTCATGAGCCAGATGTATAGGTTTGCTTGCTTTGCTTTTTCAATAAAGGTGCATGCTTTAATAAACTGGCTTTTCACACTGCAATCATGGTCTCTCATATAAATTCATTTATATGAGAAGATAAGGATCATGGTTGGGAATAGTCCTTTCCCACTGACTCAGGAGGCTGTCTGGGAACACCTCACTGGTGTTGATGAGAAGTGTCTCTAACAAAATGATTTATCAAGTTCTAACACACTCAGAGTTTACTTTTGGAAAAAATCCATATAATCTAAGAAGCTATTCTGGGACCTTCCTGCACTAACCATTTTCATTTGGAACACCTGTCCTCTGTTCACAACTTATTCATTACTCCTCAAGTCCACTTCGGTCTCACTATTTTATGCTGCTGCTCATAGCCTCATAGCTAATATTCTATTTTCCTCTTCTGAGCTGCAACTACCAACCAATTAGATACTCACCATAGCCCACATCTACTAATGTTCTGGGAAAGGCAGTAAAATGCAATACTATAAATTTCCTTTTCTTCCCAAATCATCCCTTAGCAGAAAATCAAAAAGGGCTTACACCGCTTTTCTTCATTGTATGAAGGCACAACAATAGAAAGCTGTTTAGTAGGTGAGTCCCTTATGGTGGGTAGAGTTTCCTTCTGTCCTCTGGCATTTAAGAAGAACTTCTCTTCTTCATGTCGATGAAGAGGTGGCATTTCTGTAGCAGTTACAAATGCAACAAAGGAAATCTAAAAGCAGATATGTTAAAAAGAAATTGTTAGGTTCACCTGTTTTACATTTGTTATGTTCGAACGCTGTATGATTTATGTCCCCCCCCCCCACCCTTTGTTAGAATATTTATTCTCAGTTTTTAGTCCATTAATAATAGTCTGGAGGTGACTCCAAAATTCAAACCAGTCTTAAGAATGATGATTGTCCTTTTACCCATTAGTAATGTCTTAAGAGAGACTGTCTCTTCCCAGTTGTCATTCTCTAGGGCTGTCATCCCAGATCTAATAGGGAACAAATTATAGAAGTACAATCTGCTCTTAGATGTGCCAAACCCCCAATCCTGGGCATACATTGAGTGAGGTTCAATCCCTACTTGGAGCTTACAGGTGACAGAGGACAAGTTCATATAACAATTGGAACATGTGGGATGAAGGCAGACCTAGCATCCAGGACCAGATTGACACAGGGCATAAAGGGAAGATTCTCCCAATCCCCATAGTGAGGACTAATAATGCTTAAGAATTCTTGGCACTTATCCCAGATTTCAACTCAGAATACAGTATTTTCTGGAGTAAAGTATCAACCTTGTAGAATATGTATCAAATATTGGTAAATGTCATGCACTATTAATATTATATAGCTCCCTTCCACATATGATTAGGAGCTAGCTTTGGAAATAGCTATTCTTTGGAATACTACGTCTATTGGCACACCTTCTATTTCTAAACAATCAATTTACATATTATCATTTGTAATTTGAAAATCATGTATAATGTTCCATTGGGTACATACTGAAATTGCATATGCATTTGATTGGTGTAAGCATGGACAGTATCCAGACTAGTGGGTCCAAGTTATTGCTCTGCACCTCAGGTATCCAGATTGTGTTTTCTAAATTCCATCTCCCACTAGAAGCAACCAGTGTTCCTAAGAGGAATGTCTGGTTCAAGTTGGGGCAGGAAATGGGCAATGGTGGAATAGCACATCAATGATAATGAGGACGATGCAAAAAGTAGCCAACTTGGGGGGCTCTCATTGCCTTATGATGGGAGGATTTGAGCATCAAATTACTGCAAATCCATTGAAACAAATGAAAAGTATTTTAAATCATGTATTCATAATACTAAAAATAAAAAATTAATTGGTCACCTTTGTTAAGATGCCAGGGAACTATGTTATTATTTTGAAAACTTGCTTTTTATCTTACTTTTTATATATGAACAGTATTTCAGGCTAACTGGTAGCTGAGTATTAAATTATTTTTCATTATAGGTTTCTAGGTAATATATGAAGTTATGATAAATTAGAATATTCTACTTTTGCCAGTGAAATAATGAATTTAGGTATATTCCCAGTGAAATAATATGTTTAGGTAGTGATCATCAATGACTGCTAAAACCTTTAGGTAAATGACAAATTTTATAACTGGTAGGTCAGACTAATAACATCTTAACACCAAAGAAATCACACATTATAAATCTCCTGATGTTATAAAAGAGGAAGTATTCAGCATCACTCACACACTTTCCTTGATTTAAAAAAGTCAAACATTTATTTCATAAGTCTCTAGATGTAACTACTGGTTTACAAGAAATTCAGGAGTCAGAGATGTTAAAAGGCACCAAATGAGTGCAGTTAGTAAAATGCAGACTGTGAGAAATTCTACAGAAAAAATGACTACTTATTAAAGATAAGGGGGGCGGGGAAGGGAAGAGAAATTGTTATAGATCAAAAGACTTGAGACATATCAATGAAGTGCTAAGTGTGTGTGAATGCTGACTGGAAAAAACTGACTATTCTAAGACATACATCAGGCATTGGAACTGATATGTATTTAAAACCACTAAATAATGGTTAATGTAAAAAATAATTTGTGAGAATCCTACTGCCATTACATTTTCAAAGGGGTCCTATCTTTTTAGATAAATGCTAAGGCTTTACAGGTAAATTATGTCTTGGATTTGCTTCAAAATACTCCAGAAAGAAGTGGGGTGGGGAGAAAGTATGTATGGAGGGTGGAGATAAATATAACATACTAGTGGCCGGTGCATGGATTCATGCACACTGAAATTAATTATAAGAGCTTTATAGCGAGAACTTTATATGTATCGCGCATGTGCCAAGTCAACATTTATTTTTCAATTGCCAGTGGGCTCATATGTACCGGCTGTCGGTTGGGCAGTCAGACAGACGTACGGTTGGTCACTTAGCTTTTTATATATATAGATAGATAAAACAAGATTTGTGGGGTTTTTTGGTAATAATTATCCACTCTGTCTGACATTTAAAAAAACAAGTTCCAGGAGCTGTGTGACATTTGTGCATATGAAGCTCTTTAACCTGAGTTTCCGCACCAAATAAAGCTAGTATTTGTCAGTGTTGTTCCAAGATCAAATTTATTGAATACTTACAATACATTGGAAGTATTCAATAAATGGTAGCTCTTATAATCACTTCAAGCCATGGGGTCAACTAGTTCTAGTACAAACTCAAAATGTACACATGTAAATCTGTAACAGATTCAATAATGAGGCAGATCAATTTAGGATTTTCGTCAAACCCTAACCTGCCCACACCTTTGCTCAAAACCCTGAAAAAAATCCGAAATCTCCATATACCAAAAGTGAGGACTCCTCTCTCACTCAGACACAAATCACCCCAAAGAAATCAAGATAAAGTGCTTTTTCTCTAGCTAAACTGTTCCTAAGTTGTGAGTTTACAGACTTTCTGGCAAGATGACAGAGACCTTCCTGGCTGCTAATCTGAATGTCAAGGAAGCTGAAACCTCTTCATTAACTAACTAGAGAGCAGGCTCATTCCAAATCATATGGGAGAAAGTTCACTTGGCATACTTTCTACTACTTATGGATCAGCAAGTATTTACAATCTGTTTCCAGAATAATGGCAATATATATATATATATATATATGAGTTTGAATCTTACTGTACTGCATCATTTCGAGGCAGCTTATTTAGGGTGTTTAACTCTGGGACATAACGACCCCCCAAACAGATGTTAACACCAGGCTTTGCCTATCTTGGTCTTCCCGTGTTCCTAGTGGGTCTTTTTGATCCACTAATTTATTTCAATCTGTAATAGATAGCTTCTATTAGTGCTCTGTTACCGCTACTTGCTTAACCACATAAGGAAAAGGGGGACTAGAGAGCACTCACTTTCTGGGGGCTTAAGACCTCCCTGGCGGGGCAAGATTGAAGAGGATACAGACCCGGAAGGGAGTCTTGGAGAGGTTGGGATGGATGGAGGGTCCGGGGACAAGTGGGCTAGTGAGGAGTGGGTGGGCACGTCTCAAAGTGAACAAAGGTATGAGGCTCTGAGTACGTAGGGACATAGAGCTCCAAAGTAAAAATAAACAAGGAAGAAAGGGGGTGTGAAATTCAGAAGAGGAATTCTGGGGTAAAGGGTGGGGATAAGCATGGTGAAAGAAGACACAGAAGAGCGGGCAGCGCGGAGAGAATACCTGGGCCTAGTCTCCAGAAAAGCAACGAACCCAGGCCCGCGTTAGTCCCCAGTCCCTCTTCTCACCAGTATCAGGGCTGCGGCCGCCAGCGCCACGCCGAGCACCGCGCCGAGCACCACCAGCTGCAGCGGTAGCGAAGCCATCCTCCAAGCACCAGCTGCAGCCGCCCTATCCGGCACCCACACGCGCACGCGGAAGTGGGTCGCACAGCCCCGCCTCCCGCCCGCAGAGAGGCCGCGGCGCCGGGCACCTGCCGCCTACAGCGTCCTCGCGCGGCGAGGCGAAGAACACGTAGTAGTTGTGTGCCCGGCGCCTTGTTCCAAAGTAGGATTGCCAGAATTCGCAAGTAAAAACACACGCTGTCCACTTAATTTGAATTTCAGATAAACAACGTTATTTTTAACATCCTTATTAAAATATAATTGCACAACCATATAACCCACCCATTTAAAAGTTTTGGTATGTCATATGATTTTTTAAAACGGTGGTAATTTTTTGATATTTTAACCATTTTAAATGTACAATACGGTGGCATTAATTAAATTAACAATGTTCTGCAACCATCACCATCATTTCTAAAACCTTCCCGGCTCCCCAGCCCTTGGTAACAACCACTAACATACACCACTGGAACCGTACTCCTAGAAGGAAATTACTTTATCTGACATTCAAATTTAATTGGCTGTACTTTATTTTCTGGCAACCCTATCCAGAAGGGAGGTGGAAGCCTTTGAGCCAAGACATAGCCTACAAAATCAGCAGCTCCTTTGGAGCCCGCCCGGGAACTTGCAAAGGGTCACCGCAGGAAATTTACGTAATCTCCGGAGCTGGAGCTGCGAGCTCTTAGGAGAATTAAAACGCGAGCCTAGCCTGACAGAGGCGGGAAAGGGCGTAGAAATTTTGCAGTAATGCTTCACACTCAGTACTGTATTATTTGCTATCAATTCAATTTTCTTTCAAACTCTTGAACTACCCGACTGTTTCTAAAGAGAGACGCTCATCACTTAACCAATAGCTGATTCGTCAAAACCTGTAGAAGGCAAAGAAACCAAAAGAGACTTCCAGCAAGAGACTGGAAACTAAGGCGGGTCAATAACCACCGTAGTTTCACCTTCTGCGTCTCATGCTATGGGAGATGGGCACTCGGTTCCTCTTCGACAGTGTGGGGGCGGAGCAGGCGCGCGTCCTGGAGACGGAAATCGCCCCCGCGCAAACGCAGGCTCGCGAGAAGATGGCGGCCGGGTTCAAGTGAGTGTTGGCGGCTGGCGCGCACGAGTTTGTTCCCTGGCAGAGGGTGGCTTCCCTTAACCGTTAGCTGGGGTTTCCTCACCTAGAGGCCACCCCACCAAGTTCCCACTTATCCCCGCGGAAGCCGGCCACGGGGCCGGAAGACCTGGAGGTGATCGTAGGAAAAGGAAAAGAGGGCTCCTTACCGCCAGTGAGACGGAAGGTGGACGGGTGTGTGTGTGTAGAGTTCAGTACCCACTGGAAGTGTTGTCGGTGTAGGTGGGGTAGCCTCTTCCTCATTGGGTGCTTGGGATGGGGTACTTGGCCTTCCCTTTGTTCCTTTCCGGTTATTAATAACTAGATTTTTCAAGGGTATCAGGAGCACTGTGGCTCGGTAGTGGATGTGCAGCTCCAGGAGACACAGTTGTATGTTTGTAAGAGTGTTGCATCAGGCCCCGCTGGCGTGGCTCAGTGATTGAGCATCGACCTATGAACCTGGAGGTCAAGGTTCGATTCCTGGTTAGGGCACATGCCTGGGTTGTGGGCAAGTGTTGCATCAGAACCACATGCCACTTCATTCTCCTTCAGTAATTTATTCCTAAAAGGACTGTGCCTTGTTTGGCAGTTTATTACATAAGCCTTTTTGTGTGTGTGTGCCACTCTGGTTAAACCAATAGATTTTCATTTTTAGAGTCAAGTTTTTAAGCATATAAATAGGAATCCAAAGGAAATCGATTTTATCAAAACAGTTATCTATTTGTATAAAATCTCAAGTGTATGATATAGTGTTAGACATAAACCTGCTCTAAAATTAACTTTCTTAAGCAAGATCTAGTGGGGATTCTATAACTCCTATAATTTAAAAATGACTATTAGTACACATACCTTTGACAAATTATTAAATAAAAATGAAAACTTCCAGTGTCTGTGGTTGTTAAAGTTGCAGGTACAGCTAATATAATAGTTTATTGCCCACAGTCATAATTAAAGAATATACTAAATTCAGTTACTGGATAGTAAAAATAAAGATGTAACTTTTTTTCATTCTCGCTAAGAATCCCTTCTTCAGAGAGAGAGTGATAGTAACATCTGAATTAATCCTCTTAAAGATGCCCAAGGTCTTTGAGCTCCAATACTGTAATTTTTCCTTGCAGAGTTAAGGACAGCAGTTAATAACTGTGATTGCTACAGAAAGAGTATCTACTTTTAGTAAACAGTTATATGCGGCAACATACACCTCAGAATTTATGAAAAACTTACATATTTTGGAGACTTATTCTGTTTCACTACACTTTTAAGATCTTTGCCAGTTTCTGGGTTTATGTTAAGATTCACTACTTCATGCCCTAACCAGTTTGGCTCAGCTGATAGAGCATCGGCCTGCAGACTCAAGGGTCCCAGGTTCGATTCCGGTCAAGGGCATGTACCTTGGTTGCGGGCACATCCCCAGTAGGGGGCGTGCAAGAGGCAGCTGATCAATGTTTCTCATTGATGTTTCTACCTCTCTATCCCTCTCCCCTCCTCTCTATAAAAAAAATCAATAAAATATATTAAAAAAATAAAAAAAGGTTCATTACTTCACATATATTTTTAATATGTTTCAGAACTGTGGAACCTCTGGAATTTTACAGGAGATTTTTGGTGAGTAAAAGGGGTTATGTAGATGTTATGCCTTTTGATAGTATATGCTTTAAAGACAATTTCATATATACAAATAATGAACATTGTTACATTGTACAACTGAAACAATTGTTATCCTATCTAATAAAAGAGAAACATGGTAATTGGCGTACGACCGCTACCCTTCCCATTGGCTAATCAGCAAGATATGCAAATTAACTGCCAGCCAAAATGGCGGCCGGCAGCCAGGCAGCTTGAAACTAACATGAGGCTTGCTTGCTTTAGTGACAGAGGAAGGCAAAGCTTCCCTGCCTGCTTTGGCGGG